GAATGAGGCTGGAATTTTGTGTTTATTGAAAATTTAAATTTATCACTTTATAAATTTATTACTTTATTGTTAAAAAAGACAAAAAAATGCAATATGTTCGTTATAATATCTAATTTCTACTGTAAAAAGACACAATTTATGTCACCTCTAATGACAGTTACAAAAATGAGCAATTTATATCGAAAATGTAAAATTGAGACTTTAATTGGTTCAAATTGAAATATTGCAATTAGTTTGCAATCCGAATACTTTAAAAATTTGGTGATTTAAAATAGCAATATTTAATCACTTTGAAATAAACAATATATTATGAAACTATTACTATGAAATCTGTCCCGTTTTATTTTAAATTTAAATCTTCTATCAAGTTTCAGTGCTATGAGCAACAGAGACCTGTTTTGTCTACTACAGGCAATATGAAATGTATTCATAGATTATTTGATAATTCGATCATTTGTTCGAAATTAAGTTTAAATTCCTCAGAATATTCCGTATGTAAATTTCGGATAAGTAATTTCATTTATTTTTCAGCAATCCAAATATCACCAATGAAAAAAAGGATCAAATATGGAAGCCGGTAACATTAGATATTCCGGAACGACATTTACGAATTACGCATGTTATCGAAATGTGTGATGAATTTAAAAATGGACGATTGAAACGATTAAAAGATATTTTTGGTAATTTAGTCATGGAATAAATGATTCATCTTATGGTTCAGATCATTTTCCTTTTATTAAATTGAACTACTAATTAGCTATAATAAACATGCTATTTGTTGCTTTAATACATGGGGAGTGAATTTCAACAAAAGTCTAGCTATTTAAAATATTTTCACTTACTTAAAGAAGTTGTTGAACAAGTCAAATATGATTGAAACTTTTAACAGTAACCATATTTATTCTTGTAAAATAAATATCGCAATTTTAATTCTTACATTTTATTTAACAGATAAAGAAGCAAAAGAAAGAAAGAAGAGAATTAAGAAATGCAAAAATTTCTAAGACAAAAAAAAAGCAAAAGAAATAAATAATTTACGGGAATATAACACTTGATTATTCCAGTAAGAAAGCTAATTTTATAAATTTTTGAATTTATAAAATTCAAAAGTTTTATTTATTGCTATAAATTATTGTGTTATCTGTAATCTTCACTACAATATCATCCTTACTTCGTTCATCTTAAAGTTTTCATTTCATGTCTTTCAATTAAATTATGAGGAATATTCAAATTTCATAATCGCAGTACTGTTCAAGGTTGTGAAAAAAAAATTAGTCAATTGCATTACTCTTAAAAATTATTTTTCTTTCAAAACTTACAAAACATTTTTACCATATTTATGTAACCGTGACGTTGCAACATGTTATATTTTAATGTCTTTTATCTCGTCTTTTCAAAAATTTTGTATTTTTTAAAAATAATTTTTGTGATAATTCATAATTTACAACTGATTGTTATCCATTAGTTATACGAAAAAAACATTGATGCAAAATGACGGTGCAATAAATAAATATGAAATCATTTTAGAATGGAACCTTCACTTCTTCGTCGTATTTCTTGCACGTATTGATAACATTCCTTTTCAATATCTGTTGGCAAATAATCTTTCTGTCCGACAATAAATTTTTCAAACGGACAAAGGTCAGATGTTATTGAGCATCCTCGTATTAAATGAGTTATCGATTTCGGTTCATCCGAATAGATACTTGAATACAAAAACTGAAAATATAATTGGTCAAAGTAAGAAATAAAGAAAATAAATTTCATCATAAAATAAGTCCTATGGGAAAACATGTGAAGAAATTGGATGTCATTTAGGACTGTTTAATGTATTTTAATGATCTTCAATGTATTTTGATGACATGATGTTTAATGATCTTAACTTTTAAAGTGACTTTGAGTTGGCCATGCAATTGTTATTTGAAAAAAAAAACAGCCGAGAAGATTACTACCTGGGAATGATTATATAATCCTTTTAACTTTTACTTTTACCATAAATTTAAAGTAAATCTCAATTTATTTGTATTATAAATAAATGATTTTGAGCTTGGTATGTTTTTATGAAGCTAAAGATTTGCCTCAAAATTAATCAACCAGATGTTATCTCAATGGTTTTTTACTCGCAGAAAATTATAACTAATGGAATTACAATAACACCTGCTTTAAAAAACAATTATTAAAAAATTGAAAATGTTAATTTTAATCTAGTTTATATTTTTTATGTTTAAATTTCAATTAATAATTTTACAACAATTCTTCAATTTCAAGTAACAAACTTTAACGTATGGTTGATTATTAAATCGATAAAGCTCGGAAGATATAGTAGCACCATACTGTGGATTATAGATGTCCACATTTTCAAAATTTACTCCCAATGCAATCAGTAGTGCGGAAATTGTTACATCGTGCTGTAATTTGAATTTCATTGCTAAAATTTGAGAAAATGTGTGAATTAATTTGTCCAATTTTTAAAAAATTAAAACATTTGAAGTGAAAGATCAAGTCCAGTATTTCGAACTTTGATGAAATTTTAAAATGCAATTAATATAAAATTTTAAATATACAGCAGATAATCCGTAGAATTTGATACGTTTGTACCAGACACATTTGCTATTATCACCGTTCATGCATTCCCATTTCTGTTGTAATTTATCAATGATACCATTCAATACGGTACCACCACGTAATTGAATTAGTCTCTTATTTGAACCGAAGTATTTTGCGTTTCCAAATCTTCAATTAATTTTAGATTTCAAATTTCAACAAATTTCAAATAAAATGAACTTTTAACTATGAAACTCAAGGCTAATAATGTGGACTGCTATGAAATTGCTATAAAAATTTGAAAAATGCTATAAAAAATTAAATTTCTCACACAACAATGTGACTATATCAAAATTAAAATTTCAATAATGCAGTAAGCAATAACACTCCGAAATCAATATAAACCGAACTATTAAATTTTGTAGGAGTGGTAAAGAACCAAATTTTCATATTTACCGGTATTTTCGTATTTCCCTGTTCAAAACTTTCATTTCTTTTTCAGTATTTACTGTAAACCATTCCGGCAATTTTAAATTATGAAAACGCTGCAATTGTTGAAATCGGCAGTAAAATCGGAAATAGAAATGGACATTATTAAATTTACATCATCATTTCGATCTTAGCAATGACAGTAGCAATGCTAACAAATAAAATGATCATCTTTTGCCCGACGATAATATTAACATCACAGAATGACAAAATAAAATTGTCCCTATCAAATTTCAATACTATTGCAAAGAAAAGAATTAACAACGAAAAATTATAAAGAATTAATTAATTAACCGTTAAATTAACACTTACTTCAACATTTAAGGTATCCAAAATGAAAATGAAACGTTCGTCTAATTGAAGGTTTTGATAGCCTGTCATGTTCGATAAATGTGCTAGCAAATCCTTAATTTTTTTGTTTCAATTTAAATAAGCAAACAAATAAGTGAAAAAATTGAGAAGTGTACAAAAAATTGCCATCTAAAAATTTTAATCCTAAAAATTAATTTCAAGAGAAGAAAAGGAAGGATGTGAAGTGTTGACGATTTCAGAAAAAAAGATTTCATGATTATAAAATTTATTCAAAAATTAAATTTAATTGAAGTCAAATGATATCAGCATCCCGTTGATGCATTTTTCCTTCGCACTTTTAAATCTTCTCTTGCTGTCCCCGCTTTGTCACATCTCAGTGCGTAATTTACCTGATGCTTTATTGTTGTTTCACGAAAATCACTGCTTTGATATCCTTCTCTTTCCAATTGTTCTGCTCCCATGCAATGATGAAATGGATTACCAATCTGTCATAAAATTTACATAAATAGCTTCTCATATATCATTGAATTAATCAAATTAAGCTTATTTATTTCAAATTTCTATTTGTTCAACAAAATGGACTCCAAAATTATTATTTCTAATTTGATTATTTAATCAAATGCTACCTAATTAAATATGTAAATATTAAGGTATTTAAATTGTTTGACATATTAAACTAGCCAAGCATGCAGCATGCTTGGCTAAGTACAATGCAAATTTCCTGCACTGAGACTGTGATTTCTTTCCTGAGAAATGTCGAAACACATACATGATCATATTTAAGTTCCACCGTATGAACAGGAATTGGTATCCAACCGTAAGGCCAATTTATTTCAACACTTGGCCGAGGATAATCTTTTCCGGCAATTCCATTAGAAAACATTCCAGCTAAAAGTGCCATCGCACTTGTAATGGTTCTATTAACATTCGTGCTTCGAATATATATCTGTAATAAATTTTGTAATTAAATTAGAGTATGACATCGAAAATTATTGATTTTTCATTATTCAATGAATTTTTCTCCATTTAGAAATCAATAATTTTCTATGCTAGGAAATACAAATTATTGATTTTTTCCTTTTCATTAGTACAAAGCATAATTTAATGATGCTGTAATGTGTAAATTAATTTTTTTTCACGCTTAAATAAACATAGAAATAAGGTATAGATTTTTTATTTTCTCCTTTTTTTTGGACAAAAAATTAACTGATAAATTTTCACCTCTCTGTTGTAATAACTTTTTGACAGGAATGGTGGCGTACAATTGATGTATTGCTGATGAAGACGTTTTCCAACTTTAAATAGCTGTTGCATACCAATCTGCAAGAAAAAGAAAAATCCTGAAGAAAATTTAATCGTTTTTTAAATATTCTAGAAATTTTCTGAATGCTTGATTTGTTAAAAATGGTCCTAAAAATTACTGTCATTTACCACCAAAAAAAAAGAAACTATGTTAAATTAACCTCAGTAAGTTCACCTATTCCATTAGGCCATATTGACTCCTTATGTGGATCATTCGGATATATCGCTAACGGACTTCGATCACCATGCCTCCATAACTGTAACAATTAAACATACGAGTTATTGATTTTTGCCTGTTTGAATTAATACCAATCGTTTAAATGATAATAACGAAATATGTACAATAATAAAATCAGGAAAAAAAAGAAAAAATTTTTTGAGAAAAAATTATTTAGGAAAAAAGAAAATACTGACAATATGGACGAAAAGGAGTTCCGGTAATTCCTGTTTTTCATTTCGTATGGAGATTTTTCTGATTGAAGAATCGGTAAGATTTGTTGTTTCTGTTCCATTCCATTCGTTCGAAAAAGGAATAGAATTCATCCATTTTTCAGCAAAACAACCAGAATTAATAAGCAAAATTAAAATATTTAGCATAAAGAATCTGAAAGGAAAATAAAAATCCTAATTTAAGAAGAAACAAAGCTGTCATTGAAGTAAATCCGAAAAAAAAATTTGTTTTTTTTTTTGATAAAATTTTAACTTTGAAGTTTCCTTCCGTTACGGTAAACAAACTTGAAAGCCTTTTTGATGGCCGTAACCGATTGTTTTTGACAAATTACTTTTCATCATACGTTACGTTTCAATTCACACATAACGTCCCGATTCATCACGTTATGTTTCCATTCAGAAACAATTACCTTCTACTGAATGGAATAACATGAGACAAAAGCAACGATCAAACGGTTAAATTTTTTTTTAATAAAATAGTTAAATCTCATTAAGCATACATTTAATTGTAATTTCCAATTCGATTTAGTTGAAATGTCAGAATATTTTTTTGATATCAAATTTTGATGCTGCTTTAAGAATTGCTTCATTTCTAAAATCATTCAAATTTAATTTTTACTCGGTGACATTCTTTTGTTTAAAATAAACAATAAATAAATGAATGAAATAATAATTTAATATATTCATGTGCATATGCATAAAAGAATGTATTCTAATGTGAAATTTGCAAAATCTAACAATGTAAAAAAGGAAAAGAATTAATTAATATAATTGATTTCAAAATGTTTGATGGCAAGAATTAACTTAATTTAAAAGTTGAGAGCAAATTATTTTCGGTATTAGTGTATGGGATAAAAAATGTTATTTGTTGAACAATTTATTAATTCATGAATCCAATTTTTGGTGTAATTTATAAAGGAGAAGTGGAACTTTCAAAATCTTGCTTTTATCAAAGTAACTTTTGCAGTGCACTTTTTAGTTGCATTTTTGATGATGTTCTAAAGATTAACAAATCTTCGAGATCTAAGATTAGTTTATAAACTTGAAATATTTTCGGAAGAGAATATTGTTAAAATTTGAAGCAATAATGATGGATGAATCAATTAATGAGCAGAATTAAATTAAATGTTACAATTTAACTAACTATATTAGCATAGAATATAGCCAATAATTGCATAATTTTTTTCTTTGCTAAGTAAATTTTAACGGTAATTTTTTCAACCGCAATGGAAACATCTTTTTTCATTACTTGATCATTTTCTGATTTTCTTATTCAATCTACTTACTAATAGCTTTTACTTTCTTTACTTATGTAGCAATAAATTTCTATTGTTAATTGATATACCTAAAATTTATCATCAAACGTTTATATTCTGAAATTAACCATGACATTAAACATTAAAAATTCTTGCCAAGTTAAAAGCATCTATAAGCGTATGCAATATTTGTACTAGAATGAATATAAATTTTTATTTTGGTTGATTGTTTTCTGAGGAGTTAATGCAGAATATAATAATATATCTTTCGCTTAACTCCCACCAGTATCTTCGATTATTTCATTTTTAATTATTCTTTAAGTATCATTCTGATTGTAATAGCTGAGAAATCACAATTAATAGCTGAAGGACATTTGAAAATTGATTTAAATTTACAAAATGCTAATCCAAGTTTGCTTCTGAACTGTGATATTACAGTTTTCCAAGAGCATTACAGTAAAATGTTTGAAATGTATTAAATATCCTCATTAACTTCATCTTCCTCATTATTTCTTCCTGTTATTTCTACGTTTCAATCCGATATGCTGCATTTCCATAAAATTTTTTCTTAGCTTCATAAATGTTCTTAAAGATTTAGATAATGAAATCATAAAAGCAAAAGTCATGGTTTTCAGATTTTTGCATCAAGAATTCAATTATTCAATTATTTTCCTCCTAATAACTAATCTTTTGCTAAATTAATAGGAAATTTCACCTAAATTCATCTCACATTACAAAAGAGCAAAAATAAAAATTATATCAATCATAGCTTTTTCTTCATTTGGTTTTTTGATTAGAAGAATACGTCTTTGAACAACCTTAATATATCATAATTGTTAAATACATTTGTTGAAACATTAAGAGTAACAAATTTATGAACCATTTTTTTTACTAGCTGTTGTTAAAAATTTTTATTAGTCAATCTTAATCAGTTCAATCAGTCGTCATCAGTCAATCAATCCCAAATTAATCATTATGAAGTAAATTAATGATTATTCTGTTGCTAAATTACAAAAATTTTATTACATCCATGTATTAGCATAAATTCTTCCAGACAAATATATATCATTGTTATTGTTATTAATGCAGAAAATTAGTTCATTAAAATTGATTAATTATGAACAATTAGCCCAAAATGAAGATACGGGAATAATGCGAATTTGAAAACTATGAATAACACAAATATAAAAAAAATTTGAATAATGACAATTTGTTGTTCGATGCTGACAAAGTAGAATTTATGGCTAACATTTGATTACAATTAATTTTTTGCAAATCATTATAAAAATGATGCAAAAATTTGAAGAGCAAAAATGCACAACAATGAATTCGTAGTACGCTAATATCGAGCAGCAAAATGAATGTCTTGAATTTTATTTTTCCATTGAATTGAAAATTCATTTCAACAAAGGTATCATATATTTGTGGGGAAATTGCATATATTTCAAAACAGAATCATGTAAAAGTAATCATATAAAAAAAAATCTGTAATCATGTAAAAGAAGGAAATAAATTTTGTACGAAAAAGAAATTCGCGATGTCACACTTTTATAACAATTTATAACAATTAAATGTTATCATAATTGTCCCACTGTAAATTAAAGTTATAGAATCATACAGTTAGAAAACAATATTACCATAATTGTGCTATCTATTGTAATTATGCTACCTACTGCAAAATCATATGAATTCAATAAATCGGCATTATCGAATTCTATGTTATTGTGAACTGAAATTACAGAATCATATCGGTATAAAATCATATCTTAATCATATCTTAATCATATCTTAATCATATCTTAATATTACTTAAATACTATTGTGCAAAGCGAAGTTACTGAAACCGTTACACTACAATGGCAGCAAAAGTGCATCGTTCATTTCAGTACCATATTAAACAATGATGTTCATGCAAAAATTTTTCGTTGACATAAATAATGATTGATTAGTTTTGCTCATTTTTCTTTTCTTGTTCTAATAATTTGAAAAAACTCATTTCTATCGATGAAAAAAAAAA